CGAGCCGCGCGGCCCAGGTTCCCCGTCGCCGTGGACCAGTGCCTCGCAGTCTTCGACGCCGTCGCGGCCGGCGACGTCGGCGCGCAGAGCCCCGCCGCCTACGGCGCGCGCGACGTGCGCGCGCTCCTCGACGCCGCCGCGCGCGGCGCGCCGCGGCGGCGCCGCGCGGCCGCGGCGCTCGTCGCGGAGATGGGCGGCGACGCGCGCGACGCGCCGCCGGCGCGCCGCGGCCGCGTCGGCGCCGTCGCGCTCGCCGGCGAGTCCGCGGGCGCGTGCATCGCCGCGTCCGTCGCGGAGCGCGTCGCCGCGCGGTCCGCGGCGGCGCGCGGCGGCGGCGCGCCGCCCGCGCGGCCCGCGGCGCTGCTCATCTACTACCCGCCCCTCAACCTCCACGAGCTCCAGTCGCCGAGCCGCATCGTCATGTCCTTCGACCCGCTCCTGCCCATCAACGCGCTCGTCGCGGCGTCGCAGGCCTACGGGTCCCTCGACATGGACGAGTCCATGATCTCCTACTACAGCGACGCGGCGATCCTCGGCGAGTTCCCCAAGACGCTCATCATCTGCGGCGGCACGGACCCGCTCCTCGACGACGCCGTCGACTTCCACACGCGGCTCCGCCGCGCGGGCGTCGACGCGTCCCTCGTCGTCCACCGCAAGCTCACGCACGGCTTCCTGGGCATGCTGCCCTACGGGCCCCTCGCGCCGCCCCACGCCCTCGAGCTCGCGAAGCTCGGCGTCCGCTTCCTCGCGGACGGCCTCGCCGGCGCCGGGGACGCGCGCCGCGGCTAGGAACCCCCCCCGGGGGCGCGCGGTTCCGCCTCACGCGCGGCGTCGCGGCGGGGAGGGGGGCTCACCGCGCGTTCTCGACGTCGCCGCTCACGGGCGCGAGCGGCGTCCGCGGCGCGGCGCCGTCGCCGTCGCCGGCGTCGCCGGCGTCGTCGCCGCGGTCGCCGGCGGCGGGCGGCGCGTCGTCCGCGCGCGTCGCCTGGGCCCAGGCCGCGAGGAGCTCATCGCGGAAGCTCGCCGCGGCGCCCGGGGCCGCGAGGGCCTCGGACGCGAACTCGGCCTGCGCCTTGCGGGAGAAGGCCGCCGCGGGCGCCGCGGCGCGCGCGGCGCAGGTCCAGCGCCACTTGCGGCGCCGCGGCGCCTTGCGCGCGTCGAGGTGGAAGGCCCGCGCGCCATCGAAGGCCCGCGCCGCGCCGAGGACCGGCCCCTCGCAGCGCGTGACGCGGCGCCAGACGTCCGACAGCTCGGCACGGAGCGCGGCCGCGCACTCGGCGTCGCGCGATGCCGCGTCGTCGTCGGCGCCGAAGCAGAGGCTCGTCTGCCGGTCGAAGACCGTCGCGCCGTTGCGCCGGATGCGCGCGCTGAGCGCCCAGGACCCGGCGCCCGTCGCCGTCGCGGCCCTCTTCACCGCCGAAACGGTAACGGCGACGGACCCCTCGACGGCGCCCACGTCCGCGTCCGGCGCCGGCGGCGCGACGACCGCGCCCTTGGCGCCGGGCCGCGCCGGCGGCGCCGACGCCGGGCGCCAGCGCGTCGGCGTGCGCACCATCCCAACGGCGCCGAATTTTCCTCGCGCCACGACTTTTTCCCCCGCGCTAAATCATTTAATTTCAGCACCGCGACGCGACACGTAGCCCGCGCCCATGCGAGTCCAAGTGCGAGTCCGACCCTCTCGCGAGAGGACGAGGTCCGCGGCCCGTCGCCGTGCGAGCGGCGCCCGCTCGCCGCCCCTGTCGCCGCCTCGGCGGCCCGGGAGAGCTCCCTCCCGCCGGCGCCGCCCCCGCCCGGGCGGCTCCGTCCCCCCACCCAAAATAGGTTCACGCGGGTTACGTGCCGCCGGACTTGCAGAGGCCGCAGGTCGAGAGCCAGCCCGCCCGCGCGGCGCGCGGCGCGCGGTCGTCGCCCCGCGGGGGCGCCTCGGCCGCGCGGCGGAGGTACCCCTCGGCCTGCTTGAGGAACTTGTCGCACTCCTGCTTCTCGATCTCGCGGATGACGCGCTCGCACTGGTGGATCGTGAGGTGGCCGACGCGCGCGCCGCCGTCGCCGGGCTCGAGGCGGTCGAGCGTCGCGAGGCACCTGGAACCCGACTTCAATGTGCGCGTAATCGAACGGTTTGGACCAGACTCGTTCGCCGTGCTTCGAGAACTCGACGAGAGCAATCGATTCGTCCAAAAATCAGCCGAATCGACTTCGATGTGACCGAGATGGAGAGTTCTGAAGTTTGAGGCACCTGGCGGCGGGGGGGGGGGGGCCGGCGGGCGTCGCGCGCGCGGGCCGCGCGGGCCGCGTCGCCGCGCGGGCCGCGCGCCGCTTCTGCGAGACCGCGCCGCGCGTCACGGACCAGACGAGCTTCGAGAGGTCGTCGCGCCTGGGCGGGCGGCTCGGCGCGGGGCGCGCGCGGCGGCCCCCGGGCGCCGGCGGACGCGCTGCACGCGGCGGCCCGTGCCGGGGATGCGAACGGAGTAGAAGTCGAAGGAGTCCTGGAGGTGCTCGTCGACGCAGTCGATGGACGGGATGCCGTCCCACTCGGCCTCTTCGAGGTTCATGACGACGGCCGAGGTGTGGCGGAAGATATCGCGACAGCTTGAAGTAGCTTGAAGTAGTTTCCTGAAACTTGCACACCCTTAGGCTCATTCTATGACTACGGATTAATGGATAATGAATCATTTCATTTCGACCTCGTCGATCATTTCGAGGAGGTCGTAACGAAAAATTTTCCTGCTTGCACGGGCGGTGCTCGAGGCGGTGCGACTGCGCACGGCTCCCATTGTGCTGCGACGGTCTACGAAGGTCCCCGATATCCTTAGGGATCGTTAGGGACCGTGCGCCGCGCCCGCGGCACTGTACTGCTCGGTGGGCAGCCCATCGTTCGGCCGGCAGCGACGAGCGGGAGCGCATGGACGGGGACGACAGCCCTTCGCCGCTCACGAAGCGGCCCTCCGATGGGGGGTGCTGCCCCGCGACCAAGGCCTCCACGGTGGCCTCGAGCATGAGCTGCCCGTGGACCCAGTGGCCCACGTTTGGCCGAACGTCATCGCGCGGCGGCCGGAGCTCGGCCCGGTGGAATCGACAATTTCGCACTCACCCGTCGAGCCTGCCGCGCTGGACGCGATGACCCCGATGAGGAACGATCTCCGACGCTGCGACGGTCGAAAAACTGACATTAAGGAGTTGCGGAAGTCGAACGCGCCGCTCCGGAGCTCCTGAAACCCCCCGCCCGACTCACCTCGCAATCGTCCGAGTCTCGCGTCTTCGCACGCGCCTCAACCCTAAGCTTGCGCGCCACACAGCCACTGGGATCGATGTACAGTTCTCCATATTCGCCGAGTTATGGGCCAAGGAAGTTGGCCATACCATCGCTGCCCCCGAAATAACGAGTTTCGTGCGTTCGGTCCGTACTATTTCATTATCCAGTAATCCATAGTCATAGAATGAGCCTTAATCAAATCAGAAGGCTGCCCGTCCGGCTGGGCTGCCCCGACCGCCATGGACGGCGAGGCAGCGGCGGCGCCCCCGGCGCTCCCCGGCGACGGCGCCGCCTGGTGGAGCCTCTTCGGCGCCCTGCACGTCAACGTGGCGGTGGCGCCCGTCTTCGCCTTTGGCGTCATGGCCCCGTCCTTCGGCCGCCTCGCCGGGTCGTCGCCCGGCGGCACGGCGGCCATCGGCGTCGCGGCGAACGCGGGCCTCTGGCTCAACGTCGTGCCCGGCTACGCCTACGACGCCCGCGGCCCGCGCTTCGCGACGGCCGTCGGCCTCGGCCTCGCGCTCGCCGGCTACGGCGCGACGGCCCTCGCGCTCGCGGCGCGCCGGGCGGCACGCGACGCGACGCTCCTTTCGCGCGTTCGCATCGTCGGTCCACGCTCCGCAGAGAAGTCGCGCCGAGAGCCGTCGAGTCGTCCACACACGTCGACCGCGCTCGAGGCGCGCGACGGCCGGTCGGGACGGGCGGCCGATTCCGGCGCAGGCGACGCGCGCGGGCGCGGCCGCGGCCGCCGCGGGCTGGTTCGCCGTGGGCCACGGCTCGGCCTGGATCTACACGGCGACGCTGCTCCACAACGTCACGAACTTCGAGGTCGACGCGCGGGGCTCCGGGCGGGAAACCACAATAGGCAACGCGACTATGATGTCCATCGTACAGGTTCGACGCAAGAGTGTTTGGAAAGGACCCGCCGAGAGAACACGATCCGTCCAAACATCAGCCGAAACCACGTCGATTCGACCGAGCTCGAGAGGTGTGACGTTTTCGCCGGACGGGGCGTTCCACCGGTCGTTTGCGGCGCAGGCGGGGCTACGTCGTCGGCTGCCTCCAGGCCTGCTTCGGCCTCTCGGGCGTCGCGTTCGCGCAGCTCTACGACGCGTGCCTCTTCGGGACCGTCGACGCCGCGGGCGCCTGCGCCGGCGGCTGGTTCGGCGGCGAGAAGCTCCTGCCCTTCCTCGGCCTCGCGGCCGCGGCGCTCGCCGCGGCCTGTGTGCAAATCAAATCTTCAACCCGACTTCAATATGCGCGTATTCGAATGTTTTGACACGAGCACTTCCGCCGTGCTTCGAGAACTCGCTGAGAGCAATCGATTCGTCCAAAAATCAGCCGAATCGACTTCGATTTGACCGAGCTAGAGAATTCTGAAGTTTGGCCCCGACGTCCCAGCTCACTGGTTGATTTGCACACAGGCCGCGGCGACGGCGCTGAACCTCGCGCTCGCCGCGCCGGCGCACGCGGCCGCGGCGGCCGGCGGCCGGGCGCTCGCGCGGGCGACCTGCGCCGCGCGGCGCCGCCTCGAGCGCGCGCTCGCCGTCTGCGTCGCCGCGGTCGCCTTCGCCGTCGCCGCGGGCCTCGCGGGCGGCGCGGCGCGGACCTGGGCGCCGCTCGCGCTCGCCGCGATCGTCGCGGGCCTCGGCCCCGCGCTCTTCCCGCGCCGCGGCGGCGCCGCCGCGCCGCGGCTCCGGCGCCGCGCGACCTACCGCTTCCCCGACGACGGCGAGCCCGACGACGGCCGCGGCGCGCCGCTCCTCGCCGGCGGGCCGCCGCCCGCGCCGCCGAAGCGGCCGGACGCGACGGCGCGCGACGCGCTCGCCGACGCGCGCTTCTGGGCCCTCTTCGTCGCCTTCGGCGCCGCCGTCGGCGGCGCCATCGCGACGAGCAACAACCTGGCCGTCATCGCGGCCGCGCGCGAGCCCTGCGCCGCGGACCGCGCGGCCGCGCGCGCCGTCACGCGCGTCCCGGCGCCGACGACGGCCGCGACGGTCCGCGCGCGCGCCTCCGGGGCGCGCGTCCGCCGTCGAGCGACGGTCGCGCGCCCAGGCTCCTCACGGGCGGCGACGCGCTCGGCCGCGTCGCCGCGGGCGCGTCGATCACGCGGCTCCGCGTCGACGGCGCCGCCGTCCTCGCCGCGGGCCTCTCGTCCCTCGCGGCGGCCCAGGCGCTCCTCCTCGCGGGCGCCGCGGTCCCCGGCCGTGTGGAAACCACCCACTGGTTTGGGACGTGACGAAAAAATTTGATCGATGACTCTCTTCCAGTTCTCGAAGTACGGCCGAAGAGGCTGGTCTGAACCGTTCGATTACGCGCACATTGAAGTCGGGTTGAAGATTTGATGTCCACGCAGGTCCCCGGGTCCGCCTTCTACGTCGCCGCGGCGCTCGCGGGGCTCGCGGACGGCGCCGCGTGGACCGCGTGCCCCTGGCTCGTCGCGCGCATGTTCGGCACGGCGCACTACGGCAACGTCTTCGGCCTCGCCTGCTTCGGCGCGGCCGTCGCGGCGCGCGCGCGCGCGGAAACCGGCCGTTTCGCGACGTCGCGGCCGAACGTCGCGCGCCGCTTTTCCCGGTCGCGGCGGACGTCGCCGCCGGGGCGCCCGGTCCGCCCGTCGTCGACGACGCGCGCGCCGAAGGCCGGCGGAACGCGCGAGCGCCGCGCAGGTGCTCGCGCTCTCCTACGGCGTGCTGCCCGCGGGCCTCGCGGCCGCGGCGAGCGGCCCGGCGCCGGCCTGCGCCGACGGCGTCGCCTGCGTCGGCGACGCGTGCTTCCGCGCGTTCCACGCGACGTCGCTCGCCGCCGCTGCCGCGGGGGCCGCCGCGGCCGCGGCGCTCGCCCGCCGCGCCGCGTAGGCGGCCCCGGTCCTACGACCGCGCCGCGCGCCCCCCCCCGGCGCCGCCCTCGCCTCGGATTAGCAGACCTCGCCGCACGTGTTCTCGCAGCAGGACAGGTCGGCCATGTACATGTTCGCCTGGCGGAGGCCGGCGACCGCGGTCTTGGTCTCGCGGCCGAGGCCGCGGCAGATCGCGTCGGCGACGATGCCGAAGCGCTGGCGGAACTTGTAGACGAAGCAGAAGGACAGGTCCCCCTGGACGACGGAGGGCCCGACGAGGAAGACGCCCGGGACCTTGGTCGACTCGTCCTCGGCCGTGAGGAGCGGCGCGCCCGCGAGGCAGCCGCCGCCGTCCTCGTCCGCGAGGTCGAAGAGGTCGCGGGCCGCGGCGGCGACGCTCCCCTCGAAGCCCGTCGCCAGCACCGGCGGGTGCGCCGTGTGGACGACGAGCTCGTCGCCCGGCGCGCCCGGCGGCTCCGACGCCGCGACGGCCGTCCGGAGCGACCCCGCCGTCAGCGGCGCCTCGGCCTCGCGCCACGCGGCGACGACGTCGAAGCCGCCCCCGGGCGCCGCCTCGACGCGCAGCACGCGGAGCGGCGCGAGGAGCTTGGGCTTGGGAGAGAAGCCCTCGGCGACGACGTCGCGGAGCCGCGCGGCCGTGTAGGGCGCGAGCTCCGTCGACGGGTCCGGCGTCTGCACGTTCCACGTGGCCGTCGACGCGAGCACCGTGGCCCGCTTGCCCGCGCGGGCCAGGTTCACGGCCGCGTCGACGCCGGACTCGTAGCCGCCGATGACGACGCGCTCGTCGCCCTCGAGGGTCGCCCACGACGCGACCCGCGAGTTGTGGACGCAGTGCTCCGACCCGGGCACGGGCCCCTCGCGCGGGTACTGGAACTCGCCCGCGGCCCAGACGACGAAGCGCGCGCGGATCGTCTCGTCGATGCCGCCGCGGCGCGTGCGCACGTCGAAGTCGCCGTCGGCGCGGCGGTCGACGCGCCGCACGTCGGTCCCGAGGCGCACGTCGAGCGCCGCCTCGGCGACGAGGGCCTCGAGGTAGCGCGCGTACTCGGCGCCCGACGGGTGCTGCGTGTGGAGCGCGTACGCGGGCGACGTGTCCTGCGCGACGGCGTTGAGGTCGAAGGAGTTCGTCCAGCCCTGCTGGTTGAACGACGGCGAGATGAAGCGCATCTCCGCGGGCCACGCGCGGAACGACGCGCCGACGGCGTCGCCGCGGTCGACGAGCCGCACGCGCGCGGGGTCGAGGCCGAACGCGCGCGTCAGCGCCACGGCCGTGCCGACGCCGGACGCGCCCGCGCCGACGACGACGACGTCCGCGTCGAGGCCGTCGCTCGGCCGGAGCCGCACGCAGCCGTCGACGTCGAGCGGCGCGTAGATGAGCGTGCCGTCGTCGAGCCGCACCTGGTAGGGCACGACCTCGCCCTCGGGCCAGTCGGCCTCGCGGTGGTAGAGCTTGACGACGGCGCCGTTCTCCCAGCCGTCGGCCGTGCGGCCCGTGTTGCACATGACGCGCGCGCCGACGGCGAAGCGGAGCGCTTTGTCCTCGACGGCCTCGGCCGTCGTCTCGACGGCGTCGCCGTCGAGCTGCGCGCAGAGCTCCTTGATCCGCGCGAGCTCGTCGCGCGCCTCGGCGCTGTCGCCCGGGTTCATGACGGCCGCGAGCCGGAAGGCCTCGTAGGCCGGCTCGAACGCCGCGGCGTCGACGGCGTCGCCGCCGAGGACTTTGTCGAGGAGCGGGTCCAAGAGCGCGCGGCCCCGGAGCCGCGCGACGTCCGCGAGGTCCGGCAGCACCTCGAGCGCGGCCGCGCCCTCGCGCGCGGCGCCGTCGAAGTCCTCGTCGAGGAGCAGGCTCTTGAGCCGCTCGGCGCGCAGCGACAGCCCGTCGTCGCCGGCGGCGCGCGCGACGCCGCGCAGCGCGCGCGGCGCCGACCGCGCCCAGCGCCGCGCCGCGGGCGCGAACGCCGCCGCGCCCGACAGGAGCGAGAGCAGCTTCGGCACCATGATAGCGTCGCTCTACTAGTAGCTGACGCGATAAACTTCAGCTCATAAGAGGCCGTGAAGAGTCTGGCACAACTTCTGGCACACGAGCCTCTGCTCACGCAAGATGCAGTAGGCCTTGCAGTTCAATTTAGGTTCCGAAGGGCGTCGTCCAGAAGCGCGGCGCGCGCATTGTCGTGGCGTTGGGCAGCTCTCTCGGCGCCTCGCCTTTGCCCATGCTTACGCAACCCTGCGAAGCAGTGCGATCTGGCGAAGCCCCATCCATGCCGGATGCCTCGCCCGGCCGTGCGACTCCCCGGCCTCGGCGCGGGTGGGCCGCCCGCCCCGAGGAGTGGCTGTCGGATTCGCACGTCGTCAAGGACCCTTTCCCGGGTGCTGCGTTCGCACAGTAACGCTGCTTGTACTGCACGATGCAGCTAGGTAATAATTCGGCGAGCTTTTGCACACGAGCTTATGCACCACCGCTCCGACGCTTAAAACTCCAGCGCAGGCTGCAAACATGGCGCGCATCGTCGGCGGCGAGCTCGACTGCGTGCCGGACCTCAAGGCGGCGCTCGAGTGCGCGCGCGCCGACGGCCTGGACTTCATCGCGGCCCCGCTCTACCACCCGCGCTTCGCGCGGGACGCGCGGCGCGTGTCGTCGGCGCGGCGGTCCATGGGGACGCGGAGCGACCGCGTCGTCGCCTGCGGCGACTGGTCGCGGCTCGTCGTCGGCGTCGCGTCCGCCTGGCCGCGCGGCGCGGGCGCGGCGCGGCGCGACGGCGAGCACGCGCTCGCGGAAGAGCTCGCGCGCGCGGGCCACCTCGCGGTCGCCGCGGTGCTCCTGCCGCCGCCGCCCGCGCGCGTCCAGGGCCCGGCGCGCGTGCTCGCCGCGGCGCTGCAGCGGGTCACGAGCTGGCAGGGCTGGGTCCGCGTCGTCCTCGGGCGCGGCGGCGAGGACTGGCGCCGCTGGGACGCGCTGCGGCGCCTCTGCGACCACGGCGGCGGCCTGGGCGTCGCGCTCGAGCTCGGCGCGGCGCCGCCGGCCGTCGGCGACGCGCGGCGCTGGCGCGGCGAGCCCGTCAAGGCGCTGATCCTCCCCTGCGCCGTCTTCGCCGCGAACGCGGCCGGCTTCCCCCTGTGTGGAAATCAAATCTTCAACCCGACTTCAATGTGAGCGTAATCGAACGGTTTGACACAAGCACTTCCGCTGTGCTTCGAGAACTCGACGAGAGCAATCGATCCGTCCAAAAATCAGCCGAATCGACTTCGATTTGACCGAGCTAGAGAGGTTTGAAGTTTTTGCTGGACAGGGCGTTCCACTGGTTGATTCCCACACAGGCTTCCCCGTGCTCCCCCGGAGCCACCAGTCGCTCGTGCGGTCGCTCGCGGCCCTCGAGCCGCGGATCCTCATCCGCGGCCGGCCGACGCTCGGCGGCCGCGCGCGCTACGTCGAGTACGCGCGCCACCTCCTCGGCTCCGCGGACCCCGCGCCGGGCTCCGTCGCGGCGCTCGAGCGGCCCTACCGCGACTTCCTCCAGGCGCCGCTCCAGCCGCTGGGCGACGACCTCGAGGCCGCGACCTACGAGACCTTCGAGCGCGACCCGGTCAAGTACGCGCGCTACGAGGCCGCCGCGGCCCTCTTCCTCGGCGACTTCCGGGCCCGGAGCGCTCCCGGCGCGCGCGCGCTTTTCGCCGTCGTCGGCGCGGGCCGCGGGCCCCTCGTCGCCGCCGTGCTCCGCGCGGCCGCGGCCGCGCGCGTCGCCGTCGGCGTCTACGCCGTCGAGAAGAACGCGCACGCCGTCTGCACGCTCCGCGGGCGCCTGTGTGGAAATCAAATCTTCACCCCGACTTCAATGTGCGCGTAATTGGACGGATTGCGCCATACTCTTCGGCTGTGCTTCGAGAACTCGATGAGAGCAATCGATTCGTCCAAAAATCAGCCAAATCGACTTCGAATTGACCGAGCTAGAGAGTTCTGAAGTTTGGTCAGGACCACCCAAACCAGCGGTTGATTTCCACACAGGCGGCCGCAAGCGCCACGACCCCGCGTGGCGCGACGTCGTCGTCGTGCCCGGCGACATGCGGCGCGTCGCCGGCGGCTTCGACCGCGTCGACTGCCTCGTCTCCGAGCTCCTGGGCTCCTTCGGCGACAACGAGCTCTCGCCCGAGTGCCTCGACGGCGCCGCGGCCGCGCTCCTCAAGCCCGGCGGCGCGTCGATCCCGCGGCGCTACGTGTCCTACGCGCAGCCCGTCGCCTGCGCCAAGCTCTGGTTCGACGCGCGGCGCGCGAACACGGGCGCGCCCGCGGGCCCGCCGGCCGTCGGCGCGTGCGTCGGCGCGCCGCCGCCGGACCGGGGCCTCGAGACGCCCTTCGTCGTGCAGCTCCACAACTTCGCGCCCCTCGCGGCGCACGCGCAATGCTTCGCCTTCGACCACCCGGGCGACGCCGGCGCGACCAACGACCGCGACGTCGACCTCGCCTGGGACATCGCCGTCGACGCGACGGTCCACGGCCTCGCGGGCACGTTCCACGCGGACCTCTACGGCGACGTGTCCATCTCCATCTACCCGCCGACCTTCTCCGAGGGCATGTTCTCCTGGTTCCCGCTCTTCCTCCCCTTCTCGGCGCCCGTCCGCGTCGACGCGGGCGGCACGCTCGCCGTGTCGATATGGCGCCGGTCGGACCCCGGCCGCGCGTGGTACGAGTGGGCGCCGACGGCGCCCGTCGTCCTCCCCATCCACAACCCGAACGGCCGCTCCTGCGCCATGCTGCTCTAAGGGTCGAGCGGGAATCAAAAGGGCGACCTCGCTCGCCTGCATTGAACATTTCGTTGCCTTTCAACATTGACACCGGCAAGGGCCAAGGCGGCACGTGCTCGATGTCTGTGTCATCTCCCTCGGCGTCGTCACCTCCCTCTCTTGCAGCGTAGACATAAATCCCAGCCAAATGAAGTTCGTCGCCCTCGGTGCGTGGACCCTCCTCTCGCGCGCAGAGATCCTCGCGCAAGGAACCTCGCGCCAAGCACGTCGAACGCGTGGTCCGCGCCTCGCGAGAAACACGTCGCGCGCGCACCCCCGAGCGCCGCCGGCTCCCGCCAGCGACGAGGACGCGCCTCGTCGCCGCCGCCCGGCGGCGCCGCGCCGGTCGCCCGGGCCCCACCCCGCGCACCCGCCCCTCGCGCCCGACGACGACCGCTTCCAGAAGCCGCGCGTCCGCCTGTAGGCCTCCTCGCGTCGTCGGCCGCCGGCCTCGAGCTGCCGCCCCTGCCCAAGCTCAGCGCCCCGTCGCCGCCGAGCCTCGACGCGCTCAAGGCCCAGCCCGCCGTCGCCGCGGGCGCCGCGGGCGCCGGGGCCCTCGCGCTCTTCGTCGGCTTCTCGGCGCTCACGGCGGGCCCCTCCGAGTCGCCGAACCCGTCCATGGACAAGTACTTCGCTCTGGGCCTGCCCGGCGGCAGCGAGAAGCTCATCGTCGGCCGCCCCTTCCAGGAGGACAACGGCAACCTCGGCCTCTGGTCCTGGCAGAAGACGCAGGCGGCGCCGCTCCCGAAGGACTACTCGAAGGAGCGGCAGGCGCAGCTCCTCTCCGAGTTCAACGCCGAGCGGAAGAAGTTCGACGTCGAGGCCCAGGCCCAGGGCTTCTCCTCCGCCGAGGCCCGGGGCAAGAAGGCGCTCCAGGACAAGCGCGACGAGGAGGCGCGCATCAAGGCCGAGAAGGCCGCGGCGAAGGCCGCCAAGGCCGCGGCCGACGCCGCGGCCAAGGAGCAGACCGCGGCCGCCGCGGCCAAGCAGGCCGACGCGAAGAAGAACGCGTCCCCGACGAAGCCCGTCTACTACCAGTAGGCCCGCTCCCCTTCCCTCGCCGCGTAACAGCGCGGCGCCCCGCCCAGTACCCGGGGGCTCCTCCTCCCCTCCCCGGTGGGGGGGGGGGGGACGACCGACACCGGCGGCCGCGGGCACGCGGGCCGTCCGGTCGGGGGCGAGCGCGAGGGCTCCGGACGCCTCTCTCGGCGCGCCGGCACAGGCACGGCAACGTCAAGCATGCTGCAAGCGACCGGCACCATCGTCCGGTTGGCCTCGCAATGGCCTGACCGCGTCCTGCGAGGCCTCGTTGTCCGCGGAGCGCGGCGCGTCGTCGCCGCGCCGTCGCCGGTGCGCGATGCTGCGCGCGGTGCTCGTCGTCGGCGCCGTCGGCGCCGTCGAGTGGCCCGTGTGGCGCAACGCGTCGGACATCCCGGCGGACCCGGCGCGGCGCCGCCTGGAGAGGAATTGGGCCGCGACGGGCGAGGGCTGCGGGGAAGCCCGGGACGCGGTCGCGCCCCTGCTGCGGGAGCGGTCCGGCTTTTTCGCGGCCGGCCCGCTCGCGGAGGCGCTCGGCGTCGGCGGCTGCGGCGTCGCGTCGGCGTCGCGCGCCCGTCGCGCTCCTGGGCCCCGCGGCGTCGCTCCGGCGCTGGGCGCCCGGGCCGGGCCGCGGCGCCGCGGACCTCGCGCGCTGGTTCGGCGAGACGTGCGCGACCGCGGAGGTCGGGTGGCTCACGTACGGCGCGCCCGCGACGCTCTACTGGCTCCCGCCCGGCGGCGGCCGCCGGGTCTTCCAGGCGCGGCTCCGCGCGGGCGAGGCGCACACGCACTGGCAGCGGTGCGGCCTCGGCCACGCGTTCGCGGTCGTCGACGACGCGACGGGCGCCGAGGTCGCGCGCTACGTCGCGTCGCACGACGCGATCCACGTCGTCGTCCCGGCGCCGCGGCCGGCGCTGGGCCGGCGGCGGACGGCCGCGGACATGGCGAAACGCGAGCGCGAGACGCGCGCCTACGAGGAGCGGCGCGCGCGGAACGTGCGGCGGTCCTGGACGGCGACGGGCTACGCCCGGGGCGCGCTGCCGCCGGACCTCTGGGCCGACGTGTCGACGTACTGGCACAACAACCGCCGCTCGCTCGCCTTCGAGGAGTGGGGCGACTCGCAGGACGCGTACGTGAACTGGTGGGACGCGCCGCCGTCGATGTGCTTCCTGCCCTTCGGGCTCAAGGGCCGGTGGCACGCCGCGCTCCGCGCGCTCGTCGAGGCCTGGCTCGGCGGCGCCGTCGACCTCGAGCCCACGGACCTCTACGGCATCCGGTCCTACCCGGACGGCGCGACGCTCACGCCCCACGTCGACCGGGAGACGACGCACGCCGCGTCCGTCATCGTCAACGTCGCCCAGTACGGCATGCGCGAGCCCTGGCACCTCCAGATCAAGAACATCGCGACGGGCGCCTACGACGCCGTCGCCGTCGCGCCGGGCGAGGTCCTCTACTACGAGTCCGCGCGGTGCCTCCACGGCCGCGTGGAGCCGCTCCGGGGCGACGCCTACGCGAGCCTCTTCGCGCACTACCGGCCCGCGGGCGACCCGGGCTGGTACCGCGCGCCGAACCCGCCGGGCGACGCGCCGCTCGACCGCGCCGCCTGGGGCGGCGCGGCGCCCTACGACCTCGGCGACCCCCACGAGCAGGCGGGCGTCGCGGGCGTCCGCGCCGAGACGCGCCGCGTCGAGACGCGGCAAACGCGCGGCGAGCTGTGAGGGACTAACCGGACGACCCGGGTTGACGTCGACTGCAAGGCGCGAGGATTGAAGGGAAACAAAGCCAGTTGAAGATGTTGAAGAACTCCACAAAGCTTGCGACGATGCGGATCGCCACGCTCGCCCTCTGCCTGGCGGGCGCCTCGGCCTTCGTGGGGCCGGCGGCGCCCCGGCGGCTGCCGCTTCGCCGGCGCGCCGTCGCGGAGCTCGTCGCGACGGGCGAGGCCCTGGTCCGGTCGCAGGCGCTCGCCGGCGAGCTGGGCGCGCCGGCGGCGGTCCTCGAGGCTCTGCCGTCGTCGGACGTGGTCGTCGCCTTCGCGGACCAGGGCGGCAACCTCGCGGGCAAGTTCTTCATGGGCTCGCTGCCGCCCTACGCGCTCTTCCTCTACTTCCTCAACTACGAGGGCAACAACGCGCCGCCGCTCGTCCGCTTCGGCTTCGCGTACCTGCTCCTCTTCGTCGCGGCGACGATCCCGACGGGCATCATCGCGAAGACGACGTGGGGCGTGTCGCTCGCCGACGCGGACTGGCTCCACGGCGGCGCGGAGAGCCTGCTCACGGTGACGAACGTGCTCCTGCTCCTCGGCTTCCGCGGCGCGCTCGGCCGCGACGGCGCCGCGGCCGACGCGGGCTGGGCGCGGCTCGGCGCGGGCGCCGCGGCCGCCGCGGCCGTGGCCCTCATCGCGACGGGCGTGCCGACGTTCCACTTCGAGGCTCACGACGCCTTCCTCGGCGGCGTCGGCGCGCTGAGGATCCCGCGTTCCCCGCGGAGCCCGTCAACGCGCTGTCCGTGCCGACGTGGGCCGTCCACTTCTCGTCGGTCTGCGAGTTCGTGCTCGCCATGCGCCTCGCGGTCAAGTACGCCGCCTGGACCGGCGACGAGAAGTGGAACGGCGTCGCCTGGGGCATGCTGCCCTCGCACGCGTCGGGCGTCTGCGCGTGCACGTACCACCTCTTCTACAACCAGGCGGCGCTCGCGTGGCTCGTGACGGCCCAGGCGGGGCTCACGTTCCTCGGGAACTGCACGCTCTGCGTCGCCGCGTTCCGCCTCGCCGTCGCGAACGGCTGGACGCTCGCGGGCGCGGCGCCGGCGTTCGCGGGCGGGCCCGAGCGGCCGCGCGAGCCCTACGCGCTCGACGCGGCGCGCGTCTCGGCCGCGGACCCGGGCCTCGCGCCGGGCCCGGAGCTCGTCGCCGAGGTCGCGGCCTTCACGCTCGTCGCCGCCTACGCGACCAAGTACGGCTCGCTCTACGCGGTCGACTTCCTCGCGGCGCCGAACGGCGCCGCGGCCGCGGCCTGCGTCGCGCTGCCGCCCCTCGCCGTCGCGCTCACGGTCCTGCCCGCGCCCGAGGCGCCCGACGTGTCCTACGACGACGTGAAGAAGTACGGCGTCGCGGGCACGCTCGCCTACGTGCTCACGGAGCTCGCGTTCTGGGCCGTGGCCTTCCCCGTCGCCGCGGCCGTCTTCGCGCAGACCAACGGCCACGCGCCGGACCTGCTCCACTCCAACGGCGACCGCGCGGCCGTCGCGGCCTTCGTCTTCGCGGGCGCGAACGTCGCGCGCCTCGCCGTGCCCCTCCGCTTCGGCGTCGCGCTCGCCGCCGCGCCCTGGGTCGACGCGAACGTCGTCAAGAGGTTCGCCCGCGAGTGAGCGGCCGCGGGCGGCGCGCGGAGCCGACGGGCGCGCGCGACTAAAAAGGCCGCGCGCGGCGCGTCTCGCGCTCGGCGCCGGCGGGCGCGACCCGAAAAGGCCCGCGCGATCGACGGGCGGACGTGTCCCAAGGTTACGCGGGCTGGGGGCGCGCGCCCGCGCCCTGCCTCCGGCCGGCCCCCCGGTCGCCTAGAAGAAGTGGGCGTTCGCGGCGAAGGGCGCCATGACGTCGCCGGCGTAGGGCTTGACGATGTTCGAGAGCGCGGGGACGGCGCCCGGGATCTTGGCCTCGGTGAGGAAGCCGAAGATGCCGAGCATCGCGAGGCGGCCGTTGTTGATCTCCGCCTGGAGGCCCTTCTTGCTCTCCTCGGCGGACATGGACGACGCGACGTTCGTGGGGTCGTAGAGGTCCACGGGGAGGATGTTCGCGATGGCCGTCTCCTTGAACGACGGGAACTTGCCCGGGACGCCGCCCTTCATGTAGTGCGTGCCCGCGATCTCGCTGTAGAACTCGAGGAAGCCGACCCAGGCGATGATCTGGAGCTTGGCGTTGACGGGGATCGCGTCCCACTGCTCCGGGGGCGTCATCGAGCTCACCGACTCCTCGAAGCCGCGGAAGGGCGTCCAGGGGAAGTGGATGCCGTTCGCCTGGATGCAGTAGCCGGAGAACGCGGCCATGGCGACGCGGCCGTGCTTGATCTCGGAATGCCGGAGGAAGCCGATGGTCTCCGCCTCGGATTTGCCCCAGAAGCTCGCGGAGCTCAGGCCCAGCGGGTCGTAGAAGCCGACGATGGGGTTCAGCTCCTTGGCCATGGCCTCGAGGTCCGCCTTGGTCTCCTGCATGACGACCTTGGACGGCGCGGACGCGGCCGGCGCGACGTAGGCGGCCGCGGGCGCGCGCGCGGTTCTTCGCGGCGCGAGGGCGCGGCGGGGATCCGGAGGAGGGCACGACATGAAGCGCAGCGGTCCCGGGCGCGGAGGCCCGGACGCGCGGCTGGCTTCGCGCGCGGCACAGAGCGAGGCTCGCGTTTTGGGGCGGAACGCGCGAGGCACGGGTGCGGCGCGCGCTGCCGGGGCCGCAGCGCGCGACGAAAGACGGAGCCATATTACCTTTTGTTATGCCCGATCCTCTAGACCTGGCTCCAAAGTTGGCCCTCGGCCAGAAGATCTGGCCTTCGCGCGCTGGCGGCCCGCGGCCGATGGCCTCGCTGCGCGGTCTCCGCAATGAGGATCGGGCTGTCGAGCTCTAAGGCCACCGAGCGCCGGGGGTCGGTGACCGGGTTCTGCCGTAGTCCGACGGCGCCACGACGTTTTCTCCGCCCTCCCGCCGCGCGGCCGCTTACGCCCGCCGCCCCCTCGCCGCCCCGGGCGGCGCGTCAGTCGCCGGCCTTGGGGTTGCGGCGGACGTAGACGACGTGGGTCGCGAGGTACTCGTCGAGGCCGCGCTTGCCGTCGGCGCCGCCGACGCCGGACTGGCGCATGCCCGCGTGGAAGCCCTGGATGGCCTCGAAGTTCTCGCGGTTCACGTAGGTCTCGCCGAAGCGGAGCTCGGCGCGCGCGCGCTCGACGACGTCGACGGAGCTGGAGTAGATCGACGACGTGAGGCCGAACTTGGAGTCGTTGGCGAGCGCGAAGGCCTCGGTGAGCGTGCCGAAGGCGAGCACGGGCAGCACGGGGCCGAAGACCTCCTCCTGGACGATCTCGCTGCCCTGCGCGCAGCCCGTGAGCACCGTCGGCGCGTACTTGTAGCCCGGCCCGGGCAGGGGCCGGCCGCCGCAGCGCGCGACCGCGCCGGCCGCGACCGCGCGCCGCACCATGCCGTCGACCTTGTCGCGCTGCGCCGCGTTGACGAGGCCGCAGCAGTCCGCGGCCGCGTCGCGCGGCGCGCCGACGCGCACGGCCTCCATGGCCGCGACGAGCTTCGCGACGAACGGCTCGTAGACCGACGCGTGGACGTAGACGCGCTCGCAGCAGTTGCAGACCTGGCCCGAGAAGCAGACGCGCGACGCGACGACGGCGGCGACGGCGAGGTCGAGGTCCGCGTCCGCGGCGACGATCGCCGGCGCCTTGCCGCCGAGCTCGAGGCTCACCTTCGTCATGTGCTCCGCCGCGGCGCGCATGATCGCCTTGCCCGTGGGCACGGAGCCCGTCATCGACACGATGTCCGCGAGCGGGCTCGCCGTGAGCGCCGCGCCGACGGTCGCGCCGAGCCCGTTGACGAGGGCCCAGGCGCCCCGCGGCGGCAGGTCCGCGTCGGGCGACGCGAGCCAGAGCTCCGCGAGGCGCCCGCAGGCCAGGGGCGTGACCTCGGAGCTCTTGACGACGACGGCGCAGCCCGCGAGGAGCGCGGGCGCGAGCTTCCGCGCCATGACGAAGACGGGGAAGTTCCAGGGGCAGATGCCCACGGACACTCCGACGGGCAGCCGGTGCACGGAGATGTGCTCGTTCGCGTCGTCGGAGTTGACGAGCTCGCCCTCGTAGGCCCGCGCGAGGCCCGCGTAGTAGTCGAAGTACTCGGCCGTGAAGTCGATCTCGACCTGGGCGAGGCCCAGCGTCTTGTTCTGCTCGCTCGCGAGGAGCTCCGCGAGCTCGACGCGGTTTTCGCGGACGACGCGCGCCATGGCCTTCAGGGCCTTGCCGCGGTCCGTTGCGCTGCGCGCGGCCCACGCGGGCTGCGCGGCCCGGGCGGCGACGAGCGCCGCGTGCGCGTCCTCGGCCGTGCCCTCGGGGATGGACCCGATGACGGCGCCCGTGCTCGGGTCCTCGACGGCGACCGTGCGCGCCGACGTCGACGGCACGAGCGAGCCGCCGATGCACTGGCGCAGCGGCGCCGCCGCTGCGCCGGCGCCGGGTAGGCGCGCCGCCGTCGGCTGCGAAGGCTCCGACGCGTAGTGCGCGAGGCTCAAACCGCAGGGCGCTAGGGTCGCGCTCGCGCGGGCAATAATGCGGATCATCGTCGCTCAGATCCCCGGGGGCTGCTTCAGGGCATCGTGCAGGAATGATGCAGGGCAGCATCGTGATGGTTCGCTCGTGAAAGGCGCTTGTCGCTCCGAGGCGCGATGGTGCGCCGGCGGCGCGGCGCGGCCGCCGCGGCGCCCGGGCCCGTGCGCGAGACGACGGCCTTCCGCAAGGCCGAGAAGCGCTACCAGCGGCGAAGGAGCGGCGCGCCGACGGACTTTGGCGACGTCGTCGACTGCCGGCCCGGCGCGCCCAATAGCGCGGCCAACGCCGCGCGCCTCTCCGCGCGCGCCTCCGGCGCCACGGACGTCGCCGGCTGCCCGGGCCTCGCCGTCTTCCCGGGCGCGCTCGACGCCGCCGCGCAGCGCGCGCTCCTCGCCGCCGCGTGGCGCGACTACCACCGGGGCACGGAGACGAACCTGGGCCCCGCGCCGGGCGGCGCCGCGCCGCCGCCGGCGGGCCTGCGCTGGGCGACGCTGGGGCGCCACTACGACTGGTCGCGCCGCGCGTACGCCGCCGCGCGCGCCGCGCCCGTACCCGCGGACGTGTCGCGGCGCTGCGCGGCGCTCGCGGCGGCCGCGGGCGGCGGCGCCTTCGCCGCCGAGGCGGCCATCGTCAACTACTACGCGCCGGGCGACACCATGGGCGGCCACGTCGACGACGCGGAGCACGACCTCACGCGGCCGCTCGTGTCGCTGTCGCTCGGCTGCGCGGCCGTGCTCCTCGTCGGCGGCGAGACGCGCGACGCGCCGCCGACGGCGCTCTGGCTCCGGTCCGGCGACGCCGTCGTCTTCGCCGGGCCGGCGCGGCGCGCCTACCACGGCGTGCCCCGCGTTTTGGAGGGCACGTGCCCGCCGGAACTCGCCGACGCGGGCCGCTGGGGCGCCGGCGCCGGCGGCGACGTCGCCGCGCTCTGCGCCTTCGCGGCGGCGGCGCGCGTCAACGTCAACGTCCGCCAGGTCGACGCGCCGCCGCCCGGCGCGGGGACCTAGGGGCTAATCCTCACTTTCATCCTCGGGGTGTCGGTCTCCGGCGCTTCGCATATCCCGCCGGCGGACTACGTGACGCTGGTGCCGTATGGCGCGCCGGCGGGCCGCGTGGTCACCCTTTCCGACAGCCGGTTTCGGTCGTCGCGGCCCTCCCAGCATCGCGAGTCGCCGTCGCCACAGTGAGACCCCCGGCACTTGGGCCGATGTTGAGTACGAGCTCCTCGAGGCCTCGCTTTTGTTGGCGAAGCTCGTCTACTCGCTTGCTCGTGCGCGCCTGCGTCCGCTGCCTCGCTGCCCCAGCCGTGATTAATCCGGCGGTCCTGTCGAGCGCGCCGCGACGCCGTGCCACGAAGCCGACGAGCCGTCCGAGCCTGCGCGCGCCGCGACCCCGTCGCCGCCGGTCGATTCGGCGCGGCTCTCCCGAGGCGCGCCGGGCGATCGGGACGCGGTCGCGGGCGGACGCTGCGGCCTACGGCG